AGCTATTTTTTTAATAGCTTTAATAAAAAATAGATAATGAAGGTTGACTAACTATCAAGTAAAGTAATTGGCTTTTTTTAATGTTATCAAGGGGAAGAGCATGTTTACTTTAAAAGAAGTCGTTTTTTCTATGGTAAGTTTTGAACATACCATAAGCTTAATCCATTTGCTATTGAATGTGCTTCACTGAGCACCTACTGAGAAAAATTCTATACAACAATGAGAGATAGCGAGAGAGAGAGAGAGAGAGAGAGAGAGAGAGAAAGCGACGGGAGAAGGAGAGTGAGAGCGAAAGGAGTGACAAGTACGGTTATGGACCTGTTATGCATATATTTATATATATATATATATATATATATATATATATGTACGTATATGTATTGGATTAACGTATTAGCAAAATCAGATTGCTTTTCAACAAATACAAATTTTTATAACATGTCATAATAAATGTTGGTATATTATAATATTTCATGAAGTAATACTTTATTAAATTATAATATAGAAATATATTTATAAGTTGTTTTTAAGTACCCACTTCCGTAATATATTTAATCTTATCCACAATTTAATACTTTGCATTAATTAAGGTATTTTTAGAAAGATCTCTCTTTCTCTCTCTATCTATCTTTATATATATATATATATATATATATATATATATGAATATTAAATATATTTATCAAAAAATAAATTAATCACACATTTTTAGCTGCAATTCTATAGATGAAAACCATGGTTATTTATCTTATAAAATTTTTATCATTAATATCATATAAAATTTAGTATTATATTATAATAAAGCCAAAATATTTTTTCTTAGGTAGTAACTTAAAATAAATAATACTATATTAAATAATACTATATAATAATAATAATAATGTATTTTACTGCATTTACATGTATTTTTCATATATACTGATGAGAAATTAGAATGTATGTAACCTGTATTTAAATAGTGAAAAAACTTGTTTTAACACAACTTTGTTTGACGTATACAAATAAAAGTTATTTCTAGTTACATATAGATAAATGTGAAAAAAAAATAATAGACTTAATTTAATAATAATGAAAAGAGAAATTTCTCGAGTTGTTAATAAAGTATTATATAATGTTGAATTTTGTGAAAAGTTACGTTCTCAGTATTACGTTTTATTTATGCCTGTAAGATACTTTCACGTATTTTATTGAATATTAAAATGCTATAATTTTCTTTTATAATTGCTAATCTAATTAAAAAAAAAGTAATATTTTTTTTTACAATTATGAGATATAACATCAATAATTTATAATCTATAATAAATTTGATAGAAATATAATAAACTTTATAATAAATATTTATATTTTAATACTTGAGATTAATTATAGCTATTGTTAAAAATAAAAATATTAGGTATAAATGATACTTGCAATAAAATTATTAATATATATACAATTATTAATATATTTACAAGTCATTACAATGTTGTATTTTGACTGTACATCATTGAACATAAGTAACTTTATTTCACATGAAAGTTTAATTTATACTTCCGATTATAAATTCAGTAACAAAAAAAATGTATAAAATTCAAATTAGTAAAAGATTCAATTAATACAATTACATGCGACTTTTGAAATGAAAATATATTGAATTAATTTTAGAGTAAAATGGCTACCGACAATCTATTAAATAATGATTATTCGAAACGAGTATAGCAACCGCCAATTGCTCCCCAATGTCTGTCCGAAATCCATACCCTCACTCACTCTGTTCTTCCCCATAAATAATTTAGTAGACTATTAAAATAGTATTTCCCTTTGAAATGTAAATAAGTCGCACAATTAGATAAGTATTAATTAATTATCAATTTTATTTAAAATATAATAGAGTTTTTAATATTATTGAGAATTAAGAAAGAAAAAAAAATGTATGTATTTTTAATTGAAACTTAAAGAATTAAATTATAACTGAAATTGAATTTAATAATTTTAAAATTATGTATTTTAAAAACTTTGTAAATTTTTTATTTAAAGTTTCGATAATCTGAATAAAGCACTTTTGTGAAAATGAAAATACTTTTTTTTTTCACAATGTAATACCTGAAATTACAAATTTGTTCACACAATTTCAATTTAAAAATATTTATAAATAATATTTCTGTGTTTAATTTTTTTCAATAATACGGAAAACGAATAGTATTTTTAAATTTATTTCTACTTTTGTACCTTCTATTTTATAAAAAATCTGTATGTAAAAATGGTAGGTAGAACTTTAATTGTGCATCACATTACTTTTTGAATGAAGTAAAACCTTTGCTATTCATTTCCATGAAGTGTGCCGACCGTATATAACACTTGAAAAGGATGGACTATCGCGTATTTCCATGTATTTCTGAAATCTTTAAATATTTTAGTTATTAGACTTACATAATTCGTATATTTTCTATTTTCCTTATTTATCTTTATTTATGTACATTTTTCAGAGTTCATAGAAATTGAAATTAAAGTTCTAATATCAAGTGAGTACGTAATGTATATTTTATGTTAAAAATAAACTTGGTTTAATTAACATTAGTAAATAATTTTTAAAGAGGATATATATATGTAGGGAACAGTATTTTATTCAATTTTATTAAAAAAAATTTTAAATTAAAATTTGATACACAATAGTACAATAAGTAAAAGATTGATATCATAAAATAAAAAGATTACTTCGTTATATCACATACAAATATTTAATATAACTGATAAAATACTCTTTATCTTTAATAAATATTTAATCATTATAATTACATGCTTGTATGTGATTTCAAAGTCTGAATACGTAATTGCATATTTTCAGATTTTTTTCTATTACATGCTTCTCTAGAATTCCGTATGATTCAAGAAAATAATTAAATATAAATAAGATACTCAAGAATATATAAAAAATAAAATAATTTATACTATCAATGTGGTAATTGGAACAATGATACTTCGAATATGATTAGTTTTAAGAGATTCCTGTGTAGAATTGGATCTGGTCGTTGTCGTTGTCGTTGTCGTGATGCTACGTTAGTAATATAATGTAAAAAAAGAGAGATGAAAACGAGAGATAGATAAACTGGAATGGATATAGAGACGCGGAGAGAGAGAGAGAGAGAGAGAGAGAGAGAGAGAGAGAGAGAGAAAGAGAGTGCAGATAGAGAGAAAGAGAGTGCAGATAGAGGAAGATAGAAAGAAAGAGACAGAGTGTTAAAAGATATAGGATGAGCCGTTTATCTTCTGGCGTCGCTTTTCAGTTTTTTCTCATCCCATCTTACTCGTCCCTCTTTTTCTCTTTCTTTATAGCTCCATCTTTCGTTTTCCTTTAACCGAGAAATGCCCCTGTCCTCTCTCATCTCTGCTTACTTTATCCTCTCCTTTGGGGCGTCGCCAGCAGCGTTTTTCTCTTTTTCCGTACCACCCAATCCCCATCCTCTCAAAACCTAACTTTCTTCCTCGCGCTGCTTCACTTCGCGAGCTGTAATGCCACCTTTTGCTTTCTTCGTGGAATAATAAGCTCTCTCTATATACTCATCTTCGTCTCAAACTCCTCCTTCTCCCACTCCATTGAGAGGATTTCTTTTTAACTTATTCAGCTCACCTTTCTCACGAATATTTGTACTTACCCAAGAGAAAACGCTCGCTCGTCGTTCTTCTCTATGTTACAGTCATCTTGTCAATTTGTCCTTATTAATGCAACAGGATCTTGCGTTTTAATATCTTTCGCGTAAATTCATTATATTTCGTTTTGTAGCAGTTGTATTTATTTCTATTTTTATTTTAATTGTTAAACTAAGATTCCTTAATTAAATTTAAAAATATTGTTAAATAACGATTGAATATAAGCAATTGTTTTAAAATGAGAAACTATAATTTATAATTTACTTATTACAAGATTAGTCAATTTATTCAAATTAATTTTCTATTAATTTATTTAATAAATCAATATTTGACCTATAAAAAATAGAAATCTTATATTGTTATATGTATATAAATATTTTATTGTATTGATGATTCAAATTTATCGATGTATATTAATAAATAAATCATATCCGAGTAAATACTATAATGGAAATTGTAAATAAATTGATAAGTATATGGAGAGCTTATTTGGAAAATTTTTTTTTAGAGATTATTATATTAAACAATAGAGATACAATTTTTTTAATGTTTTCATTATTAATGTGTGATTATTATTTTATGACATTATTATTTTTATTATTATTATTATTACATTATTATTACAATATTATTATTATTATTATTATTATTACATATACATTATTTAGCAATGAAATACATTGTCGAATCTATCATTTTATTTAGCAATTGCATTTTTTATTTGTATAATTTTTAATTGAATAAAAATTAAAATAATTCGATTTTTATCTTAACAATTATATTATAGTTATTGACAGTTTGAGCTCATATCCTTAACAATATTTCTTGCAATTCTCCAGATCTTTATCATTATGTAAGAACAGTCCTGTATAGAAAAATGGTTTAATTGTTATATAAAAAATTTAGCAAAAATCATTTTATATTCAATGAATTTTATTGATCAATAAAACTTTAATTATTCAATATAATGAAAAATAATAATCAAACCTTTTTTAACATTAATGTTTAATAATTGTAAATACATTACAATTAAAAATAATATAAATTTTAAAATATAAATAAAAAGTCCTTAGACATATGTATCATTCTAAATTTAACATTTTATAATTAATTATAGTAATTTATTTAGATATAAATAGAACTTTCATTACATTTTTTAAAAAGATTAAATACTATAATTTTTATTTACAAAAATTAACATTAATGTATAAATAAAAATGAGATTAATTATTTTTATTTTACACCTATTTTGAAATTATGAAAATCCTAATTTTTATATAATCTTACAATGCTCTATAATTAATGAAAAAATATTAAATAAAAAATAATAATTAAATATTCAGAAAAGATACAAATGATTGTATATCTTACTTTCACACATTTGCTTGCATTCCCATTCAATTCCAGCTTAAAATTATGCAAAAAATTAATTATAAGTAATAATATATAAATAATATTTAATTAAATATATTAATTTATTTGTCATTGGTTTCATAAATAAATAAATGTATATATATATGGCTGTGTATATGAATGTATTTAAATTACTGTACCTTCAACATGAAATGCAAAATATATAAAATTTAGTAATGCGATAAAAAAGAGTTTCATGTTTTGTAAGTTAATATATTATTTAATGAAATAAATTAAGTAATTAATTTTAAAAATATGTATTTTTTATTTGAAAAACTTGTATATTAGTACATACCGGTTTTATTGTCATTTATACTAAAAATGTGTCATAAATAGTAGAAACAGAATTTATGTGCACGAACCAATCTTTTATTTATCATTAAATACTTTTTATAATTATTGTTTTTTAAATGTTAGATAAATATTATTACGTAAGAACATGGAATTATTATTAATAAAAATTAAATAATAAATAGTATACATTATTATTTTTGAACACGATTAAGTCTTTAAATACAGTTGACAATCTCTTAATACTTCTTTTAATTGAAAATAGACTGATAAGATTTGTGCATATTATTATTTTTTTATATGAGAAAATATAAATTATCTAAGTAATTTGATAACGTAATTGATCATAATTCAATCGTTCAATTTTTTAAGAAATTAAGTTAATCTTTTAACCATCTATCTAATATATGTGATGTTGGTTATTATTTTTCCTCATTTTATATTTAAAAGAATAGAAATTATAAAACGTTTCTCAATTACTCTACAAAATATTTTATACAATTAATTGAAAAATAACATATATTTTTGTAATTTATTGTTTCAATTTATGTTAGCACGTGTAAGTAAACAAGAGTTATGTTTATATTCACAAATAAGTTTTCAAAATCGAATATTATAGGGAATTATGTTTTGATTATAAACTTTATATTGTACAAATGTTCTTCTTTCTGTTGTTTAATTTTTCTCTACGTTGTAATTATCTTTTTAAAAAGTAATATATAATAAATAAATGAAATACGTGATTTTCATTTATTTACAAAAACTGTTTTCACCATTTGTGATGAATTAAATTCCAATTAAAACCAATTGCGATTCAATGAAATTTCATTTAAAATAAATCTTATAAAAAAACTAATTTAGAATGTTAATCATATTATTTCAGTATATTAATATATTAAAATATATTAAAAACAGAAGTTTATAGGAACAAAAGTATAAAAATAAAAATATGATTTAATGCAAAACATTTGTTTTTGTTTTACTAAATATAAGCAGTAGTGTTTCTAAAAGTTTAAAGTTTGCTCATTCATTATTATAATAAGAAGTTTATAGGCTTTTAATGTATAACAGTATTCAAAAATTTATTCGCAAGATTCGATTATATGTTTTTATATGTATTATCAATAAAATTAGATGATATATTATTAATATTTATTCACAATATTAGTCGTAAAACATGAATTTAAAAAATTAATTTTCTTAATCTATATTGTAATGTTTATTTTTTACATTCTGATTCATAAATGCATTCTGATTTTCGTATATTTTAATATTTATTATTTATGCATATTTCATTTTTATTGAAATAAGTTCCTTTTATTATAATTGATGTGTACGAATATAATAAAAGTTCTATAATGTTTTAAAATCTTACCTGTATTTGATAAGCTCAACAATATTTTTTACATTCTTCTATCTCACTCTTCTTTCCCTTCAATACAGCTATATATAAAAATTAAAGTTTTTATATATTTAATTATTTCTGTATTATATAAGATTTTAATATATTTTTTAAACTTTATTAGCACAAAACATAGCCCGATAAAATGGAGATAATAATGTTTTTATTCGAAATTTATTTGTATCGGTATATCCTGTGATATATGCAATAAATAATTTTATAAATTTATTCTAATTATAACGTTAGTGAAGTAAGCAATTTAAACTTTTGATTTCAATGCAAAAGATTAATGTAGTTTATGTTTTAATACAGAAACATATTTACATAGATTAAATCATTACTTACTATAAATTTAAATGACTATTTTTTATGAAAATGGAAAGATATTATAATGTATAAATTCGAAATTATTAAAGGGTAATTAATTTCTAACAATTTAATTATATGGACGTGCTGTATTGTACAAAAATTAATCTCAATTAAACGATTAGGGTTCATATTCAATAAGATATATGCAATTATTATTACAATTATCTATCATTAAAAATACATAGCTCAGAATCTATTGAATTTTAGTATCAAATATAAATTAAAGTTATAATATATAATAAAATCAAGTTATATCTTACTTTCGCAAATCTTGTGACATTTCTTGATATCGATAACTGATAAGAAAAAAACAACATTTATGAATTAGAAAATATATTATGTTATTTAATTTATAATAATATATATATATATATATATATATACGTACCTGCATCGCTTAGAAGTATACAACATACGAAACAAATAAAAGCAGTTATTAAGTATCTCATTTTTTTTTTTAATTTATAATTAAATGTAACTGAATCTCAACTGAAATTTAAAAAAAAGTTTATTCTTAGTAGTTATATTCTATGTTTGTGAGTTTATGGTTTTAATAAAAAGTTAATAATATTGCAATAGTATTTTTAAGTTATTATGGTTACATAGAAAAAATATTACTAGAAACTGAATTTTGTAAGTATAATACCGATAGAACAAAATTAAAGTTTAAATTAAGCAATTTTATAATCGATAGTATATATTAATAATTAATTATACAATATTTACGGTTTTTTTTTAATTTAGTTTATAAGTACTTACAAAATTAAATTCCTAGTAGTACTATTAAAGAAAAACTAATCATTTTAGAATAATTTATACAAATTTTTAAAAAAATTAAAATTCATTTAATTAAATATAATTTTACAAAATCCCAGTGAAATTTTTAGTTTAAGAAAATATTGACATTAAATATTTTAGATGTGATTATTTGATATCTTTATCATTTCTGCTCTGCTTATATACTATACAATTCGTTTTATTTAATAATTTATCATAAATATTTTTATTAATATCGAAAACATTTCTAAAATCAACTCAGTTATATTTGTATATTTTTAATGGGCAAATATTTATAAAAAAACTTGGATTTATTACTAAACAACATTTATTTTTATTCAATGAGAAGTAAATTTAAAGGGTTTATATAAACAGAAACAATATATGAATAAAAAATAAACAATATAATATATAACAGAAAAAAAGGATAAATTAATTTTTTTATTCATTCATTAAATTAAAAATTAATTTTTTAATCAATGTTATGTATCACCTCTATGTTTAGATAACATGTTTAAAATAATTAAAGTAAATTCATATAGAAACCTTAGCCTTCTATGTTTGTATTATAGTTTCTTGATACATCAGAATAACATTTAAATATCTCCTATACTATCTATCTCCTTAAATTCTTCTACAAAAAAAAAAAAAAAAAAAAAAATAGATACTTTTATATTCTATAATGACAAAAATTAATATTTTTATGATATAAATTTTTATTATTCAAATATTCAAATTCAATAATAATATTTTAAAAAATTTTGAAGTAAAATAAATTGCTCTATCACGTATTGCTTGTAATTATTATAAATATTAATTTTGGCTAGCTTTACTTTAAAATTTGTAAAGTACGATTTAATCTATCATTTTTTTGTACGAAATATATAAATATTGATAAAAATAAAATATTTGAAATCATATATACTTGTATTTTTAAGCGATTAGACAACATGTTACCCGTGATATTAATTTTATTTTACATTATCTCATTAAAGTACTTTGTTCTTTGGTTCTTTTATACTATATTTTATAAGTTTTAATACGTTTTTTATACGTTCTTAACTTAAGCCTATAATAAATTAATTTTCAGAAAGTAATTAACAAACAGTGATTTGATTCAATCTCTATTCTAAAAATTAGTGTTCTTTGAATGTATGTTATGTATGTTATCTTATTTGTACTGATATAATAATAAGGACTTCATCGTTTTTTAAAAACACTATAGATTATATGTTTTTCAGTTATTGATTATTAAATTAAAAAAATTTGGCCATTCGTTATTTTATTTATATATTAATATATAGGTAATATATATAATGCACAAGTTCGCAATAATATCCTGGTTGACAAAATAATGTCAAAGAAGTGTATTGTAAGTGGAAAATAATGGTAAGATTTCATCGTCCGAAAATTTAGCCTATATCGAATAAAAAAAGAAGAAAGTAATCGATAAAGAATTTAGAATTTATTAAAGGATAATCTACATCGTCTATCATCAGATGTCAATAAATGTGACACCCATGCATAAATGCACGTTTTTGTACTATTGCGCATAGCATAATATATATATATCTTGTAGTTTAGTCAATTAGTTTGTAATATCAGGATGGTATTAGAAATTTGTTCTAATTAAATTGTTATAATAGACTGTAAATTATTAATTGATAATTCATTCTTGTTATATCAATAACTAAGTCGAAATTTTACTCTTGACATTCGTTTCCAAACAACCGAGGCTAAAGCATTGGAGCTTAGGTCAAGTATGTCAAATGAACAACAGAGTGCGCATAAGTGCGCTAATTGAAGGAATACAACACATTTTCATCAAAAAAGAAATGATCAAGGCATATTTATTCTATTACAATAGATATTGATAACTAATATTCAAACAATATTCTTATTAGGACTATTTAAGTAGAGGAATTAATAATTTGTAAAATGCAATGAAATACAGCGAACCGAATACTAAGAAGTATCATTTGTGTCGCTGTGTTTTTATTTATTTATTTAAAACTTGTTGTTAGATTAAATGTAAATATGGTTTCTATTAAATGTAATTTATATCTGTAATTCTTTGCAATTTATTTAAATCAATTATTGCTAATTATATTTTAAGCACATCTGTAATACAATTAATTGTTCAGATTTAATCTAAATCTCTAAATCTAGTAAATTATTAAAATTTATTCTAAAGAATTATTCGTAATTATTTCACTGGTTAATGTAAAAAATAGTATTCGAGTTTTTTTTTTAATCATTTACTTGGGTTTTCATTATGTATGATTGTTCAGTGTTACAAAGGTCGTGATTATATAACGTCCAGCTTTTTAATTAAACTGGAATTGACTATCTGATGTATATCACAGGATAATTCATTGATCACGAATCACAAACAGCTCACTTACAATAAATTGGTTAACATTGATATCATTTTTCTTTTCTTTCAGTGTATCAATTGTAATGTTTATTACAAATGTTTTACTTATCTAACTGTTAAAGTTCAATTTATTCATTTAAATTTATCATATAACTGTATACTTTCATTATTAGTAGTAACAATGTCTTCCTTATGCCATCTTATGTTCTAATTGATTATTTTGAAAATAAATAAAAGTAGCTAGTTCTTCTAAGTTTCATAAATTTAATAATGTAATATGAAAACTAAATTTTATAACATTTAATCGGGAGCATATTTAAAATAAATCTATAATTATTATTGGTTATTTTTTATCATTGTGTTTGCTGAGAATTGTAAACGATTTCAAACGTTATGTAATTTTGACAAATAAAATGCGTAGATAATGACGAGATATATAAAACCAAGTCAAAACAAAAAAACTAAAGTATAGTGTAAGCTAAATAAAAAAAGAATTTTAAAAATTTAGAAATTCTGTTTTATTTAATAATATGCGTCGTACATAATAAAATTTAATATTAGTAAGAATATAATTTATTGAAAAATCATAATTGTACATTACCTTTATTGTTATTAAAATGTTTCATACAGCCGTCATATATTAATTAACGTTTCAATTAAATTTCATTGCGAATATGTACAATTCTGATCAATGCTTTTGGAATTTAAAACTATCATTAATTTTTTCTGTTTATAATGTTAAAAATATTAAATATTCGTATGTTTAAAATATTATAATTTTGTATACTTCTTTAGAAAATAATACTATGCTTATAATATAATATAAAACAAAGACTATCGATTTAAATTATTAATTTTATGTGTCAATAAAATTCTGTAATTTTATCAATAAAATCATGAAATACTACATTATTCGTCAAGTATTTTGAATAAGTTTTTATATTATATATCATGATAATTATGCTTAATGTATTTGATAGCATATTTAGACAATATTATTTATATTATTTATTAAATAGAAATATCTTAATTTTAGTTTCTGCTTAAATAATTTACAATATACCATTAAATTTTACAAAATATTTAAAAGATATTATATATATATATATATATATATATATATATATATATATATAATATATAATTTTTATTATGTATAAATGTATTGTATTAATAAATATTAATATGTTGTTACAATTTTTTCACCCATAGTAATTAAATGCGCATGGAATAACCTTTTAATGTAGAAATTAATCAATAAAAAAATGTGCAAGTATTAGTTAGTATATAAAGTATAAATGTAATTGATCGTAAATATTTCCGTTGCTATATATATATATGTGCCCATACAGTATTATGTATTCTAATGTAATTTACTTAGCTAAAATTTTATACATTATATTTCAATTGTTACATCTTTCACTTACTAGCACTTTAGATTATCCAAGAAATTTTTCTATTACACCTCTAATGGAAACTTTCAAGCAATATCTTTAAAATCTAAAGGAAGTCGTAATTACATCGTCGAAGCTAACAGTAGTGAAAACTACTTCCCTCAGCCGTTCGGCTACGGCAGTGTACTCCAGCTTTTAGCGACTCAAACGCACATTGTAACGAGAACTTTAGCTAACACAATTTGCAAACTCTGTTTACCTATTAACTTAGGCGCATCTTATTCCGACCCTCGTTGTCTCATTTCCACTAAAAACTGTGGTAGGGCTAGAGTAAGGAAATGTCGGAGTGACAAGGGATGAAAACTTGTAAAAGGAGATGAAGAATTAATAAAGAAGAAATAATGTCGATGAAAACGCGATGTGTTACGAAAGTTCATAGCAATTGTTTCTTATTTAAAATCGATGAAAGTAGGGAATATGTAAGTATTGAAATTATTAAAGCCTCTATTTGATTAATACACTAAGGCTAATTTGATAGATTAGTCATGATTATAAAATTTATAATATGGAGTAAGTTAGATACATATCATAAAGTTATAATTTAATATTCTCAAATATTATATTACATTAAAATTTCATAATAACTTAGTAAGTTATAGGAAAACTTAATAAAGTGGGTCATATTTTCTAATTAGTATCTTATTATAAATATAAATGAAATTGTGGTATATTATTGAAATTGCACTGTACA